CCCCTCCAACTAGACGTTTAACCCAAAGTATTGTCCCAATGAAAGAGAATGACGCATGACCATAATCCATGTAATGCGAATGATCATGTTCACGTACTAAACCATGTTACATGCAAAGATGTTTATAATGTTGATGAACACTTGAAATGAAACCGTGCATCCACAGCTTCGAGTAAACCAATCTCATCACATGATTCTTCTTCACAAACTTCATCATCAAGAGAGAGGTTGAGATCGAGTGCAACACAAGTAACAACGTTCTTCTCCTCAGATTGATCTGAACCGTCCGATTTCTGAATATTAACCGGAGGAGAACAAGCTCTTGATCTTGAACTAAATCTTTCACAGCTCAAGATCACAATCGCGTCTTTAAGCAAAGCTTCTTCGCCATTCGAATTACGAACTCTTCCTCTCTCGATAGCTCTCTTGAAACCCATTTGAGATAAATAATCAGCTTGCTCTATATCTTCCACTAAGAACACTCTGTTTGGATCAAACGAAGCAGCTTCAGAGAATCTCTCAATATAACTCCAGCTCTGTTCATCTCTCGACCTCTTGTTCCTCAAATCTTCCGTGGAATCCGATCTTTTCGATGAGAAACTACTCAAGCAAATCGAGACAAAACTGTCTTGAGATCCGAAGACAAGTTTAGCCAATTCTCTAGCAATCTTCTCTTTAGCCTCTACATCAAGACCTTGAAAGAACATCCATGTCTCTTCTTTTACATCTTCGTTTCCATTGATCTTCCTCGTACTCGATCCTGATCTGCATTTTAAAATTGTTTTCGCGATCTCGGGGATTAATTCCTTCTGCCATGGTACCTTTTTCTCCAAGGCATCACATAGAGTTGATAGGTTTTCATCATTCATTTCTTTAAACCTAGAAGCAACAAGTTCCACTTCCATTGCATCGCTCGAAGAAGCTGCAGAGTTGATTGTCGAGTTAGGATTCGAAGAGAAAATCTCTGTCTTTTGCTCATTTTCGTCATGTTCTGGAATGAACAGTCTTAAATGAGATGCATCAGCGTTCACAGACTGATCACGGTACTTGTGTGTCTCGATCACGGGCCAATCACCGTTGGTTTGAAGATGATGCAGAGTACTCGAAGGTTGAATGGAACCAGAAAATGAAGTAGTAGGAGAAGAGAGTGTGAATGTTTTTAGAGATGATGGTCTCTTGTGAATTGAGTCGCAGATTGAGTTCCACTTAACCACAAGTTCCTTTACAGAATCTGAATCCTGTCAAGTCCAAGAATCAAACATAGACGCTCTTAAAAGAAGAATCAAATTATGACAATGTTAATTGATTTGGTGTTTTATTCAACTTACAGTGTGGCTATTTTGATTCTCTTGTTTGTACTGCTGAAGCCAAGCCGGTAAAGCTGCAATTTTTACATTGCTATTGCTGCATTGTAAGAACCGAGCTTCTTCCTTAAAATTGGTAGAACATTCCTCGCAGCAACTGAGCTGCTCTAATGGCTGCAGAAGCACGGTCTCTGATTTCTTGACTTCAAGCTCACTGATTGAAACAAAATAGTATATAGTTAAGGAGTGTCAATTTAACTTGGTTTAAGTATTTAACTTGAACTCAAAATGAAGTAACTTGTTTTCTCCAACCTTTTCTTTAGCATTTTCTCTCAAGAAAACAAATCAAATTTATATATTAAAACAAAAGATAAAAAGGTACGAAAAGATGCACGTTGTTTCACCGTTCTTTTAGACGATCACCAAATAAAGCAAAAACACTATAGGTAAAATTGTCCTTTTCGAAAAAAGAGACAAAATAGTTAGAACATATCCAACCAAAAAATAAAAAAGATAATCCCATAATCTTCATATTCTTTTAATTAACTATTTTCAAAAGGAGGAGACTTTATTACCTCTCGGAGACGAGACTCAACCGGAGGCTACTAGTCGTCGGAATAGTGAGCGTAGTGAGACACCATAGGGACTCAAGCGAGGGTTGACCAGACTTGCATCTCAAGTAAGTCTGTGAAGTCGCAAGACCCATTAACCAAAACCGTCCATGATCTCCCATGACTAACCCACGAGCCAACTTCCCAATCTCCATTATCATATGCTCCACAACACAATAGCTATTGTTGTTGTTGTTATACACTGAAGATCCTCTGGTTCTAGACTCAACGAACCAGTTAAGATCTCCAAGATTTAGAATCACTCCTTTTCCAACACAGCTTCTCACTATTGTCTCCAACTCCTCTAGCTTATGTTCCACTTCTGCTCTACTCGGTTGTCCGAAAGATGAGAACGATATAGTTATAAACTTTACGTCTTTTAATGCTTCGGGCACGTCTTTTTTGTCGACTTTCTCCATAACTGTTCTCACAACTCTGTCAACAGTGGCTAAACACTCTCCAACGATCACGAAATTCCTTCTCTTTTTGTCGACTAGACTGTCTATAACGTTCATAACATCCTCGTTCCTGACAGGAGTTAACAACTTTCCTTCTTTGGGTTTACTCGAAGAGGTTGTTTTCGAGCAAATCTCTAAAGAAATAGCTTGCTCGACCTTGCTTTTCACTTGAGGACTCGAGAAACCAGCTTCTCTCATCACTCTACTCACGCTAGGATCATCGAGGATGGATATTATGAGCTGCTCAACTTCAATCTTGACTGCTAAAATCGGTTGTTGCTGGCTCTCGATGGATCCACGTCTCTGGTGAGCCTGTGCGCGTTTGAAAGCTGCACCGAGAGCGTTAGAGATACAAGGGAAAGGGGAAGTTGGAACTCCTAACATAGGACTACCCGTGGAAGTCGGGAGGCGGTTTAGAGCCACGTTGAAGCAGAGCTCGAGGGCTCTGCATTGAAGAGGGTGAGTGTGAGACTGGAGACAAGCTGTTCTAAGTAAACCCGTGGGAGCAGAAAGCATGGTGCTAGCTACATGGAGAGGTGTGACCTGAGCATGTCCTCTCCGTCTAGCTAAACCCATGGCTTGTTTCACCACGTTTGCAGCATCCGGCGTGAGGGCTTGCTCCACCGTGCAGCCTCCAGCTCTCATGGTGAAAAACACCCTAAAGAAACTCAAGGTGGAGGGTAGTACTAGTAGTGAGAAGTGAGAGTTTTATAGTAAAGGCTTCAAGGGTCTTGGCTTCATTCCATTTATTTTGAACAGCAAAAACACCTAAAGAAGAAGATATATCACCTGTTTTTGTATGGAAAGTGGGATGCTTTTCTTGTAAGAGAGGCAAAATTTTGGGGGTTTTTTGAGGGTCCAAAGTGGATTTTGTAGTGCAAAGTGGAGTGCATGTGATGACAAAGCAGTATCAAAAGGCAAAGGTAACTCAGCTTTGCCCTTATATTCTTTTCTTTCTCAAATTTCACAAAAAAAAAAAAAGATGTAATGGGTACTGGAGCTAAGTGGGTCTCTCTCTTTTCTGCAAAGTGTATCACTTATTTAGAAAAGAACCTAATTAAAGATGCAAATCATCATTCACTTATATAATATTTATATAACAAATAATATTCCCAAGAACCCTTGTAGGAAAATATTTGGGAGATAATCACTCTCTCCTTTTAGCACCTTGAAGCTACTACTAGCCTAGTCGTAACACTTTTTCAGACAACAGTCTCTTAATCTAGATCCAGTCAAGTAAACTTAACTCAAGACCACATGTAAGCAACAACATAGGAGCCACAAAAACATGAGATTGACAGATTTTTGTGAAAAGG